GAAGTTGGTAGAATTCTTCTAGTTCATCTTCACTGGCTTTAATGGTTGGTGCATAAATTTGAATAATAGTGGTATTAACTGGGCTTCCCTGTAGGCTCATGGACATTATCCTATCACTTACAGCATTGTACCTCATGACTGATCTGGATATGTTCTTTTTGACAATGAACGTAACACCATTCCTCTTTAATTTGTCATTCCCTGCATAGCAAACCATGTGGTTGTCAGATTCAAAATGGCCAATACCAATCCATTTCAGCTCACTAATGCCTAAGATATAGCTGTTGATGCGTTCCATTACATTTTCGACAACTTCCAATTTTCCCAGATTCATACTTCATACATTCCATGTTCCGATTTTCAATGGATGTTTACAGCTGTTTCTCTTCAGTTTGATTTGTAGCCCATTAGCAAATGAAGGTTCTGTGAGCATTTCTCCCCTGAGCTTAACTCTATTCACGTCATCATGGTCATCTTGGTCAACTCTACTTTGAGGAGGCATTTTTTTCCCCAGTCGCATTCTGAGTGCCTTCCCACCTTCCGGTCCTGTATCTGACAGTGTTTCTCTGCTATTCATAGAGTTTTCAGTGACTAGAGATTCGGAAGTAATTTGTCACTCTTTCTACCTAGTCTGTCTTTGTTTGGAAGCTCATCTGAAACCTGTCTACCATGGGTGACCCTGCTGGTTATTCAAAATACCGGTGGCATAGCCCTCAGAATCACAGCAATTCAAACCACCACAGCACAACAGACAAACGAGTGGCGGTTGTGTGGTTGCTGTTAAATAGGAATCTCCTGGTGCTAGAGCCCTTAAGTCCGGCTCAAAGGCGGGATTTTCCATCCTTGGATGTCAATCAAGAGGCGGAAGTGCAGCAGGGGCAACTGGGTTGTAGTGAGCCGCTTTGGGCTGGGCTTGTGGGTCTCTAAGTTGGTCGACCCTACCTCAAAGCCAGGATCCAACGGTTAGGCTAGGACGGCGCTCTTGTGTCTGGGGTAAGTTGGACAGCCTGGCCCCTGCAGTCTCTTCCCGCTAGGCAGCGTCTCCCCATCGACCTGGTCTCCAGACACCTCTCACCCAACCGCTCTGTGGTCTGGGTTTCATTTAACACCTCCACCAGGTGTGCGCAGTTCTTGCACATCATTTAACCGCCGCCCTCCAGGAGCACAGCTATTAGTATTTAAAGTTTCCCAGCAACCTAGATGAAAACCACGAGATTACCAGTACAGACACTGGGAGCACCCAAACAGTAGACAAATGACCTTACATGGGGGATTTCCTCAACCTGACATTCTAGTCTGATCTCCTGATCTCCAAAACGGACAGGAAGAGATTGTAACCACAACCTGCGAGAGGGAGGCTGATGGGAACAAGGGGACCCTGACAACTGAAGTGAAAAGTAGACTCGTGGTGGGTGATCTAAGGCTGGGAGCACCGGTGGAAACAGGGAGTGACTTCTAATGGGTCTAGAGTTCCTTTTTGGTGTCATAAAAATGTTCCACAGTTGATGGTAGTGATGCTTGCACAGTTTTGTGAATAAAATAAAAATGATTGACTTGTACACTTTAAACGGGTAAATTTTTATGGTGTAGTAATTATAACTTAATAAAGTTACTTTTAAAAAAGGGGGGGAGGGGAAAGTGAAGTGACGATACAAGAAAGGAGAACTAAAGACACCTCGGGGGACTGGACAGTGTCTAGCGCCCAGGTCCCCCTACTCCTTCACTGGAGAGGCTTTGGGCAAGTTGCTTCTCCACCTGCCTGTCTCTCAGGTGGAAGAGCACAGTCATACTAATAGCTTTCTGCACGGCCTTGTCTACAGTCGTTCAAGCTCTAGGAGCAGGACAAACTAGTGTGTACTCCCTGCCTGTCAAGCCCTATTGACCCGTAAAACTTTATCCATCCTTCTAGTGCCAGCATTTAGCCTGGGACCTGGCCCTCAAGAGATGCTCCCTGAGTGTTTGTTGAGTGAATGAGAGGACAGCAGGGCAAAGAGGACTGTCATTTTAACAAGTGAGGAAAGTGACAGGCTCTGATCTAAGCTCAGTTTCCTCTCAGACCTCAGGTCTGCCCTCTCCTCTGTGTCTATGCACTGAGGAGGAAATGTGACTACTTCTGCAGCCACTGGGCCTGCCGGCGCCCTCAGAGCTGGCCCAGGCTCAGCTCAGCTCAGCTCAGCTCAGCAGCCTGTCCTAGAAAGGTGGTTTGGAGGCTCAGGCCACAGCACCACAGAGCACTGGAGACCTTCCTCTGGCCCACATTCTTGGGCTTCCTTCTTGAAGGGCAGAGAGGTCAGAGTTCCACACTGAGCTGGAGTGTCTGGTCACTACCACTTTCCAGGCTGCCAGCCTCTAGAAGGGTGGGAACAGCAGAACCCCCTCCAGCGCTCACAAGCTCCCACCTGCAGCCTTACCGTTTGCGAACAATGTTAATATTCTTCTCTAGCTGGTCATAGCGGATGTATTCATTGGGCTCAAAGTGGCTCATGGCCACCTTGGCCCGTTGGCACAGGACTGAGGCCACATGGTACTGTCGAACACCCAGGGCTTTCTGCAAGAAGAAGGACAACAGCAACTGTCAACGGAGTATCAGTGCAACCTGTCCCTAAGAATAGCTCAGTGTGGTGAGAAAAGCAAGGTATGCAAGTATCAAGAGCGAGTCAGTGCCTACAGCCTCAGCTTCCTCATTGGAAGGAAGCACAGGATTGATACAGCAGTCATCAGGAACACAGCCTGGGATAGGAGAAAAGTACAAGGGACTTATGGTCAGAATTGCTAAGATCAAAGTCAACTTCTACCTTGTAAGGGTAGCCACCTAAGCAAATCCCCCAGACTCAGAGAGTTATGGGAAATAATCAGCTCAGTGAGTAGGCAGGAGTCCTGGTGGGGCACTGTGGGGTAAGGTGCTGGACTGCAAAGTCAGTTTGAACCACAAGGTTGGCAGCTCAAGCTCACTAGCCGCTCCTCGGAAGGCCTATACAGGGTCGCTGAGTAGGTACCAAATCAACATCACTTAACAACAACAGTGGCTATGCAGAGTACTGGTGTGGTGCTGCAGGATAAGCATTGGACTACTAATCTAAACATTGGTAGTTCAAACCTACCACCTGCTCCTTTGTAAACCCTAAACAGGGTCACTATGAGTTGGAATTGACTCCAAAGCACTTAACAACAGTGCATATATAGGGTACTGGTATGACACTGTAGGGTAAGCACTAGCCTTCTAACCGCAAGTTTGGCAGTTCAAATCCACCAGTCACTCCCCAGAAATCCAATGTTGTTGTTGTTGTTAGGTGCTATCAAGTCGATTCCGACTCACAACAGATGGAAGGAAATGCTGCCCGCCCGGTCCCACGCCTCCCTCACCGTCACTACTATGTCTAAGCTAAGTGCTGCTGTCACTAAGCCAGGCCATCTTGTTGGGGGTCTTCCTCTCTGTCCCAAAAGTAATGATCAATGCAGCCTGATTGCATGTTTGATCAATTTCAGACTGAAGAAGTTGTTAAAATTCTTCAGTTTCATCATCACTGGCTTTAGTGGTTGGTGTGTAAATTTGAACAATTGTTGTTGTTGTTGTTATGTGCCGTGGAGTCAGTTCCATCTCATAGAGACCCTACACAGGTTTCTGAGGCTATAAATCTTTACGGGAGCAGACCGCCTCATCTTTCTCCTGCAGAACCGCTGGTAGTTTCGAACTGCTGATCTTGCAGCTCGCAGCCCAATTCGTAACCACTACGCTACCAGAGCTCCTTAAATTTGAACAATAGTGGTATTAATTGCTCTTCCTTGTTGTTAAGAGCCGTCAAGTTGGTTCTGACTCATAGTGACCTGACCCTGTACACTGTTTCTGAGGAGCAGCTGATGGGTCTGAACCACTGACCTTATGGCTGGCAGTCCAGAGTTTATCCTACAGCACAACATCAGGACTCTTTGTAGGCATATGGATGGTGGATTGGGTGGCAGTGCAGTGAGGAGCTCCAACAGCAACAACACAGAATACTGGACCAAGGAGGCTCAGGGGATGGTCCCAGAACTCTGAACCACATATAAAGGAATATTTTGAAGGTGGGAAGGCTTACAGCTAGGGGAATTTGTAGCAGAAGCAAGAAATCTATTGCTTTCTAACTCAAGATGCTCAGCTGCTCCTGGAGCTGCCATCTTGGCTGAGACCAAGCGAGGAAAGGATCAGAGCAGCCACAAACACCTGACAGAACCGCAGAGATAAAGATGTGGACAATCTTTTTTTTGGGTATCTGTTTATTGTTCTCTGGCTGTCTGCGCACCTCCATTCAGGTGACTAGAGGGGATGTCTGAGCGAGTGGACACCCCACCCCCACCCCTGGAGGGGTCTACTATGCATGCACACAAATCTCCTTGAAATTTAAAGGTACAGTTCCCACTTAAAACTAAATGGCAGCGTAAAATAGTCACAGCCAGTCCTGAACTTTTATAACTAGGAAAAAAGCCAAAAATCAAATCCTGAGTTACATACATCATAACAACTAACAGTAGCATCTTGAAATTTCTCAGGAAGAAGAATGAATAGGGAAGCCCATCTCCTGATCACATCTACCTGGAGGCAATCAGAAAGCATAAAAAATACCAAAATACACATCCATCTAAGTATTAAGGCCACAGATAATGTCTGAATATGCCCCAAAAATGGAAGCAGATGACCATATTAGCACATGTCCTGAAATGAGATAAAGTGACTGAGGCAAATGAGCTAGAAGTAGACCTACACTCCATACTGGCTTTGGAAACGCCTGAGAAGGTATTCAGAAAAATGACTATAAACTGTATCAAAACACTATACAATGGAATTGAGAAAAATAAGGAAGAAGTCAGGAGAGCACTACAGGAACAATCAAATAGGATAGAAACAACATTGGAAACAATTCAAAACCTACAGAAAGAGGTCCAAACAATTAATAATAGAGTATCAGAAATGGACAGTACACTGAAAGGGCAAAGGAGTAGAACTGAAGAGATTGAAGCCAGAACTAGTGAGCTAGAAGATAAATCTCTCAAAACTACTTAGGTAGAAGACCAAGCAGAAAAAGGATAAAAAAATCTGAAGTCCTAAGATTCATGTTGGACAACATGAAGAGGAATAACGTAAGAATTATCGGCATTCTGGAACAGAAAGAATCACACAAGCCCACGGAGGAGATAGTTGAAGGGCTTCTGGAAGAAAATTTCCCTAACATCCTGAAAAGGAAAAAGATAAACATTCAAGAAGCTCAACAAACCCCAGGATAGACAGACCCTAAAAGACAATCACCAAGGCGTATCATAATCAAGATCTCCAAAATCAAAGATAAGGACAGAATCCTGAAAGCAGCTAGGGAAAAGGAAAGTGTAACAAACAAAGGCAAGCAAATCAGATTAAGTTTGGATTTCTCAACAGAAACCATGCAGGCAAGAAAGCAATGGGGAGACATATATGAAAAAAAAAACAAAAAACTGCCAACCAAGAATCCTCTACCCAGCAAAGCTGTCAATCAAATACAATGGTGTAATCAAAACATTCCAGGATAAACAGAAGCTAAGGGATTTTGCCAAAGCCAACCCTGCTATGAAAAACATCCTAAAGGAAGTTCTGT